TATGCTCACGCCAAGTCCAGAGGCCGCATAGACTCGGCACGCAAGCATACCGATTTTACTCCTTTCCTTGTCCCGAGGAGCGGTATGTCCCCTGGACTCCCTGCCCTGGGAGGATTCAACCACAAGAGAGTTCGGTTTCAGGTGACGGAGCAGGAAGGGAATGTCATCGTCATGAACTCTATACATGGCCTCATATCTGCGGGAGATAGCTTGTGGTTGGGCCAGTTGGTCCCAGGGCTGGACCATAGCCTGGCGGAGTGTAGTTATAAGCGGCAGAGCTATGGATGCGGACTGCTCTCCCTGAACGACATCATAAAACCGATCTGTGGAGGGGCCTGGCTGTTGATGAGCTTCGATTTCAAGCGAACAAACTAAGCGGGACATGAGCTCTGTGAAAGAGACATGCGGTTCGTCGGGTGAAGCAGGCCCTTGGTATGCGACAGCCACATCAGGGGATGTGGAGTCGACCTCCGACTCCTCGGAGTCTTCCACGTAACGCGGCCGGTTTTCGCTTGAGGCGGAGGTTTCAGGGGAGGTTGGGCGCCTCGTCTCTGTACGCCTGGAGGTGGATGGTACATCCCTCGGGACCAATGGTGATCTATGATCCCAAGGAAAATAGGGATATGGTTGGTGCTCCACCCCAGCCGGGGGGAGCACCATATCCCGGGATCAACCAACTCTCATCTCGATGTTCGGATGAAAGGCTGCGACATCTGGGAGGTAATGGTGAGGCCACATGAGGTTCAGTCAGTGGCATAGGTGTTAGCGAGCGGTCCCTCGGCAGGGAGTCTCTGATCTCACCATCAGAGATGGACTCCCAAAGCAGCTCCTCCTGTTGCTGGGGATGCACGCTCTCAGGCCGAGTGGTTGGCCTGGGGGATCCCGGTGGAATCACCTGCATAACGAGTTGCAGGGCCGGTCCCAAGGGGGTCGGTACCGTGGCGGCCGTTGGTACCGAAAAGCCCGATGAACCCGAGCCCCGGTGTTTTGGGCGATCACGTTTCTTGCTCTTGCGAGCGGGCTTATCCACCTTCTCCTTCCTCAACTTCTTATGGGTGGAAGGTTTATCCAGACCGGTATGCTTGTGCTTCTCCCGTTTCTTAGCCGGGGGAGAAGGCAGTGACTGAGCCTCCATAGAAGCAGCGCCTTCATCTGAAGGACGCTGCGGAGGATCGGCAGAGGTCGAGGAAGGACGCTTCGCCGGAGCACTCATGGTGGAGGAAGAGCGCTGAGGAGACGTGGACGAAGAGGAAGCAGGCCGTAGGAGCAGTTGATCAGACTGCATTAATGCCTGATCCCATAGGAGCTTCCTGAGATGATTCTCTGTTTTTCCGCGCCTGCTTGGTAAACGCCAAGCAATGACCGCATTTGTCGGTCCGATGCCCCTCGCCGAGGCAGAGGAGGCATAGATCATGTGGATCAACTGGCGACATTTTAGATCCACATTCAATACATTTGCAGAATGCCGCCCGCTGCACCATCGTGGAAAAATGAAGAAAAGAGGACAGTATAGAGGGTAAGATAATATTTTTGTTCGGTTTTTTTTTGTTTTGTTTTTTGTTTTGCTTTTTTATATATAGAGAGAAGAGAATTTAAGAAGAAAATGGACAGAATCGGAAAAGAACAAACTTGGAGCAAGAGGAGTTTAAGGTTTTTGAGAAAAAAACAACGAAGAGGCACAGATCTATAGCGAGAGACGAATAGGCACGAGGCACAGCGAACGGCGGTCGCAAAGACTGAGTAAAATGGCGGACACTCCGCTCTATTTATACCACGAAGGGGGAGGGGAGCGGAGTTTTCCCGCCAAAAACTGTTAGCGTTCTAATCTTCCGGCCGAGGCACTGCGCAGGCGCAGCAACCCATATGTGTGACGCACAGAGGCCACGACGAAGAACAGAAAAGTGTCTCCACGGGAATGCAGGCTGTTGCAGTACCACTTGGGCAGCATCCTTCTGCTGATGGAAAGAGAGGAGCTGTCTCCACGCACCGACAGAAGGACCAATAGCCCAAATAGAGCCCAGGACAACAGGGAACGGAACGGCGAGCTCCCACATGCAAAGACGGGGTCCGAATAAAGCTCCCTGCCTCCTCCCTGATGCTAAGCTCCCTGCCTCCTCATTCACGCAGATCTGCTCGACTCTGGAAAAGCAGCAGATGTTTGAATGGAAAACTGCAGGTGCTTTAAATAGAAGCAGAATGCCTGCACAACGCACAGCTTTCTAAATGTTATACAGCCTGGGAACTTAGCCAAGCCTTTCTGCTTTAAAAAATTTAAAACGCTGTTAGCAAACCCAACACAATGGTGCACCTCTGTGCCTTTTGCTTTGTGCTCTCCTCCTTCAGCTTTTTAAAAGCATGTTCACCTTAGGAAAGTCAGCGCTAAGTGCACATGGACTGGAATTTTTTAAAGGGTATGCAAAGCTTTTGTTGAAAAGCTGCTAGACTGTTTTAAGATTCTCCTCTGATTCCCTCCTTCCACCCACTCTACTGTACTTCAAGCAGTGCAGCTTGTTGAACAGCAAAAGACACAGAAATCCGGTAAGCAAACCAGGCAGCTGAGCTACAGCAAGGCTACATCTCAGGGACAGGGCAAAGGACCTTCTTCCATTGCGAGCTTTGTGGTTGTCCACTGATAAGCCATCCCCAACTTAAGATGGCCCTTTGAGTGACGGCTCCCCAGGATATCCTGTCCTTGACAGCCCTGCTCAGTTCTTCTAAGTTCAAGGCTGTTCCTTCCTTTATGGAGTCCTTCCATCTGATGTTTGGCCTTCCTGCTCTTCCTCTGCCTTTGACTTTCTCTAGCACGATTGTCTTGCTTGTCTGTTACATGATAGTTTGCTACATCTCTCAAAAGAGCACCGAATAGGCTATTTTGGATATTACTAATGAGCAGCACATGTGCATAAGAGGATTCAAGATGTGGCTTTCATCAAAGGGTTGCTACAGAAGATGATAAAAGAGGCAATCTCATAATATTTTAGGACTGCACACTTGCACACAAGTTATTGTATTCAAGTTTTTCCCCAGAATACCAAACAGCTGGCACAGAAATTGAGGAACTGCAGAATCAAGAGCAGAAATGTTGGCAAATGGAAAGCAAAGAACTACAGTGGGCCAAAAATACCCACCTTCAACACCAATAAGATCACACACGTCAATTTTACAAGAATGGGGCACCTTTTGGCAGTAGTGTGCATGCTTTATTTTAAACCTAATATCTTGACACAGGTCCTTAGGGACTCAGGGGATCTTGCAAAATCCCACTGAACTGATTTGGATTAAAGGTTCAAGAGTATTCCAACAGGACAATGCAAGCTGTTCCGCTCTCTCTAGTGGCAGGAAACTAATCTCGCATGGAGCATCTCTGTAGTTCAAAGTAGCAGATTGACTCATTCAGGATTCTGCCTCCAAGCCATACTTGTCCCCAACTCAGACTCCATAGTCAGCATATTGTTTATGCTACTGAAACAAGTAACCTTTCAAGAAAAGTCAGAGCAAAGCCACTGCTTAAAGAAAGGAAAAGAGGAACTATATGGGAGAGGCAACCTGGTGCATTCCATGTGTTTTGGATTGCAGCTCCCACAAACCCTAACCAGCGGCTTCTAGGCCTTGTAGTCTAAAGCTTTGGAAGGCATCAGGTTGCTAACCATTTAGCCAGAGGAAGGGGATGAGAGTAACTTTCAGTTCCTCTGGCAGGCCTATTATTTTATGCAAAGTCTCAGAACTCTGCACCATGCAGCTGGAATCACAGGGATGACTGTATAAATTAGCAGACGTGAGGTCTAGCACCTGCCAATTTGGAAGATTGGCACTCTGGCTTCCTATTTCATTCACAGTGGTAACTGATCTAGGCATCACCTGCCTGAAGCAATCAGGCAGGTAGGTAGGAGGAACACGGAAGAGGAGAGCTGAGCGTTTCCCTGCTCGGCAGGCACTCCAAAAGCCCAACTTTGCTCTGCTCTGCGTCAGAACTCTGGCTTATGCCCTTCACAGTAATGAACGCTCCTGATTACCAGCAAAAGGCAAGTGCCCCACATCCTGCCCTATGTTGCTTCAAAGAGCTCTCCTTTTTCATCCATGAGGTGCACTAACATTTTACATGTTAATGTCAGGCAAGGGGGTGGGGAGTGACAAAGCCACACTGAGCTGTGCAATGAAGGCATGGAAATATTTCTGTCCGCACCTTTTACTACAGAATAGCTAACCTACCGGGAATCGAGCCCCGGGCACGTGCAAGCAGCAGAGTTCCTCCACTGGCATCGGCAAGCAGCAAAGAAGGCCAGTCGCCAGGAATAGCGGCCAGCGCTCCCACTCGCTGTGCCCCCTTCCAGGCACACTGCCACTGGCTCGCCCACTTTTGCATCCTGCGGCCGCCCTTGACAGGGAAGCCTCCTGGTTGCACACAGGTTCCAGAAGCATTTGTGGACTTCCTCTTGTCTCGACTCACCTTGCAGGACCAGGCTGAGCACCAGAGGAATCAGCGGATGCTGGAGGGGTGAATTGCAAAGGGTTCATTCCAACACCACTGCAGGGGTGTTGACCTTTCTGCAACTGAAGGGCTGAATTCCATTTCAGAGATGCTCTTTGGGGATTCCATTCCAACAAATACCTTCACACCAGCCTGGGTAGCTCAAAGCTCACACTGGCAGGAACTAAGCCTAAAAAGAGGCATCTCAATCTTCTAGAATGAGGTCAGAACCAGCAAAAATGCCAAGAAAGCACCAAATGATTCAGAGTGGGGCTGAGGTCAAGGGAAGGCAGAATCTCAGTGGGCCAGACTGGGATTCCAGACATGCTGGATCTGGCCCCAGGACAGTGAGTGCAAGAATCAGATGAAAGACGGGTGATAGAGAAAAAGCTTCATATGGAACCTGTAAGTCAAGGCCGACATTGCAGGATGCTACGACAGAGAGAGATCACAACATCAGAGTGCTGAGAAATCCCCGTGTTGCAGAGAGACAGAGAACAAGAGAGGGACTCATGCAGCGTTTCTCTCTTACCTGGATCTGGCGGCATGCAGGTACAGGAATACAGTGTGATGTAGTCCACTTTGAAATTAGAATTGATGGGATAATAGTCTGCTAACTTGATCATCTTCTTGAATGCATCATAAATGAAGATGAAGCTGATGAGGGACGAGAACCCTTCTTCCGTGAAGCGGGTGAAGTACTGGACCAGGAAGCTGGCGTCCGTTGCAACCAGAACGAGACACAGGAAGGCTGACCACAAGCCAATCCAAAGGCGGAACTCCAGGTAATCAAACCCGTTATCTCTGCAGATATGGAGATGAAGGAGAACAGGGGTGGCAGAGCCATGCCAATCAGCTAAGGCCCACCCACTTCATGTTGCTTTGTTTTGCATTGCCTTGTTTTGTTCGGAGCAGCTACAATGAAGGCCAGTGGGAGGGAATCACGTTAGACAGCCGGTACAGTCTTGGACGGGGTTTAAGAAGAGTGTGGTTCTAACTCCCACTCAGCCAGGATGCTCCATGGGTGACTCTGGGCCAGGCACCAACTCTCAGGCTTTCCTTCCTGCTCCGGGAGGATGAAAACCATGGTAATGCAGAAACCTGTCAGGTAGACCATGGCAGAAAACCACAAACTGGGGTTGCTTGCTGTGTTGGCGAAATGCAGGCAAAGCAAAGACGGGCTCAGGATTTAACCACCGCCTCCCAAAGGATGGGGATAATCCCCTTACATGTGTGTGTCCTCTTAAAGAAGAGCTGGTCATTCATGGATAGGACACAGAAGAGAAAGAGTGTACGAGTGTGTGTACGAAGAAAGGCTTGGGAGGCACAGTCACCTCACACTTGAATTTAAGCCACAAGAGGTCACGCAGACCTCACAGGGGTGGCTTCTGTATGTCCTTGTGACTAATGAAATAGGAGTGGTGCATCTGCCGGAGAGAACTTTGATTCCACGCAAGGCTGCCTTGGTGGAAAAGAAGCCAGGAAGGAACATCCGGTTCAAGCTTGCACTTTCTTGTGAATAAGAAATAAACTCAGGCAAAAGAAGGAAGTGTGACGACAGAAACTCTCTTCCCCCTCTTGCGCATGAGGACCCCGCTGCATAAGTGTAATCTCTTATTTACTCCAAAAAAAAAAAAAAATCAGATTACAAAAGCAGTACTAGCCCCTTTTACCTATCTGGGTTTTGCTTCCCTTCTAGCACAGTTCTAGGGCAGCCTCCTCTAACCAGATGTCTTGGACTACAGACCCCATAATCCCCAGCCAGCACAGCCACTGCCTCTAGAAGGCGCTAGGCATTCTGCTAGAAGCAACAGTGACGTCTTTCCCCAGCTGCCCATACTTACTTGCTGAAGTTAAATAAAAGTCGCTCAAACACCAAGACAGGTCCAGTGCTGCTCAAAATAGTGAGTGGCTGGCCAGCGAAAAGGCAAAAGAGAGCTCCTGCCACTGCTGTGCCCAGGAAGCTTTCCAACACGCCCTGGAACAAAGGGAGAGATGAGTATGTTCCTTTCCCTCGCCTGTTTCTCTCTCCACCAAAGGCCAGCGATGTTACCCTGGGCAGGACGGACTATCCCCACAGCACAGCAAGTTTACCTGCTTCTTGCAAGCAAAATCCAGATGCAAGGGAAATGAGAGCACCTGGCACAGCACTTTCAAAGCTCACATCTGCCAGGAACTGATTTGGTGGCCTTAGGCAAGACATACTCCCAGCATCAAGTTCCCCCCTCTGTCCATTCTGTGGATTTTGCTACTGACCTACATTGCAGGACTGTCATCTTTATTACTCCAAGGAAAGTGTTAACAATGCTTTAAACATGCTAAAGCAACCAGGGAGTGTTACTGTAAACTGCCCAGAGATATTGGGCAGTACAGATACAGAAAACTGATAACAAAGAATAAAGAATGTTATGACAACTGTTACATAATTATTCACGTGAAAGACCATCATGCGCTAGGGGTGGAGAATTGTCGCTCAGATGTTGGGCACAAGGATTGCATGCAGACCATCAGGGGTTCAAATCCTGCTTCCCCAGTCTAAAAGGTTCAAGGGAGCAGAGCCAGATCAATCTCTGCCACAGACTCCGCAGGGCTGCTGTTAGCCAGGAATGACAATCCTCGCCATATTCTAACACACTTCATGGGCAGCCACCCCTGAAAACCATCTGGAAACCACAACTCACGTGACAAGCAGGTTCAAGGTTGCTGCTGGGAAGCATGCAGTGCTGATCCAGAAAGAACGGCCCAGTCTGCCTTAACTTTTCCCAAAATGAATTAAAGATTCTGGTACTAACCTGCACAGTCCTGAATATTAAAAGGTCATCCCAGGTCTGACCACGAGGCCATCTAAGTCTGTACTCAGTTCACAGTGGCCAATTAGCTGCCCACAGGAAACCCACAGGCAGGACACGGGTGCAAGCAGTCTCCATCCCATGTTCCTCATCAACTGGTGTGCACAGGTAACTGTTTCTGACATGACATGCACATGGTAGGCATGCCATGAGTGGAGCCGGCTGGAGCTGGGGGTCAGACTAGATGGCCCAGGAGGCCCCTTCTGACTTACTCTGTTTCTATGTTTCTATGAGCGGTCGTGCATCACCATCAGGACTAGTAGCCCTGCTAGCCTCCTCCTGCATTAATTTGGCCAATTCCCTTTCCATTGGTGGCCGTCCCTACATCTTATGGAAGTAAAATCCATCATTTAACTATGCACTCTGTGAAGAAGTGCTTCCATTTATCCTGACTCTCCTACCAATCCATTTCATGGGATGCCCCCGTCTTCTAGTATCATGAGAGACGCCCCGATGTTGCAGCCTCTGCTTGTTGGAGAGCTGCTCCAGACCCTTCAACATTTTAGTGGCCTTCTTCAACTCTTTTTCCAACTCAAGAACACATGCTTTTTAGGTGCAGCGACCAGAACTGTTCACAGCGTACCAATAAATCACGCCTTAGATTTGTACGTGAAATCTGAAATTGGCAATTTTATTTGCATTTCTTTCCTGATCAGGCCCACCTCACAGGTAGCCCTTTCCACATTTTTATCATGCTACCTGCTACAACCCCAAGATCTCTTATTTGGAGAGTCACCACTAGCTCAGATCCCACCAGTTTATTCTCCAAGCTGGGGATTTTCTTGCCCCAAAATGCATCACTTTACACTTGCTTGCAGTGAATGGCACTGGCTGCCCTGGTGACCTTTCTCCCCGTTTTCAAGCTCCCAACCATCCTCTTTGGTTTTAACCTGCCTACACAATCTGGTATCATCAGCAAATGTCACCAGTCACTCCTAAACAGCTTGGGACCCAGGTATCTGAAGACACATCAAGTAAGAAAAAGGAGCCACTGGTCAGTGGGAGAAAGCAAACGCTGCATGCAGAAGGTCTCTGGTTTAATCCCTCCAGGCTGTTGTTGTATGCAATGGAGTCAATGAATGCCCACCAGGATGCCCTGCCCTTGGCGGCCCAAAACGCCTATCTGAACGCCTAAAGACCTGCTGCCAGTCCAAGTTGACAACACTGAGCTAAACAGACTAGTGGTCCTCGGTAGAGCTAAGAGTCTTTGTTCCCTATGGAATGAGAAAGGGCTTTTTCCTTCTGCGTACCTGCAGAGTCAATTCGGCAATCAGTCTTACCACTGCTAATTTTACTGGCTTTCTTAACTGATTATTTATTGTCTTTGACTCCTCTTTTATTACTGAGGTATAGCTTCATTCCTAACCGGTCCTGGTTTAGCTTTTAAGTGGGACAATAGGATATTCCGAAGTTGTACCAAAGCTGGTGTTTTATACAAACTGTTTCGTGTTTTTAAATTCTGTATTCTGATACTTTTGAGAATATAACATTGTAAAGAATTTTAATTTTAAATCTAAGGATTTAATTATTAAAATTTTAAGTCTATGTATAATTTTAAAACTTCAATGCACTATTAGTTTCAAAGCCTACAGGCTATTTAGTTATGATTTATGAACCCAAGGACCATTCATCATGAGGTTTATTTATAAGATAAATAAACACAAACAGACCACTAGCTCTCAGAGCCCTGGATGTTCTTTATACATGGGAAATTCTCAAAAATTACCAACTCTCTGCCTCTTAGCTGTGCATGCACAAACAGCAAAGAGCATCTACGGCATGCATTCATGTGTTCCTCCCCTCTTCCAGTATTTCCGCAAGGAAAAGGTCTGAAGCTTGCTGTGTTCATTGCTATGGTCACACTAGGGGAGGATGAGCATAGACTGTGATTTGTTCAATAAAACCAAGATCATCACAATGATTTACCATCCTGGCTTCCAGGAAAGTTAAAGTCCAATTGCAGGTATTTCAAATGTTCCCTTGGATCCCTCCACATGAAAAGGTTTCTGCAGCTTGCTCCTCCCCTCACACAACTTCCTTAATTCATGCACCGGGTCTCATGACACCAGGAAAAGGGGATTTTTTTACCAAGCAAGAGGATGAGCCTTATACAAACAAGTACAATGTTAAAACAAGTTTCTTTAAGGCAGACTTCCCTAACCTGGTATTCCTCCAGATGGACTGGGCTACAGTTCCCATCATCCTCATATAAGTGGCCAATCACTGCCACATGGGAATGGCAGGGTGGTCACCAGGGAGAAGCTGCTTTAAGATCCATCGTCCTATAAAAATGGCCAATTCGCAAGATGTTTTGCAAGGCAAACAAACCTTACTTTGGGCTAGTTTGCAATGCTAGGAGTTCTATCCGATGCCCTTCGCAGTAAGGCACAGCTTCCAACCTTTGTGGGCACCATAATTTCCCTTTCCTGTTTGGAAACAGGAGGAATGAAAAATAAAGGCGCTTCATAGTGTTCCCAGGAAAGTCACAAAATATGTATGCCTGCAGGAAGGAGGAAGGGCTGCAAAACTGACTGGGATGGATTGGCTGAAATATTTCATTTAATTAAATGTAAACAAGACTCTTAGCAACAGAAGTTATTGCTTTCACAGAAGCAATAAAAAGGGCAGCTATTGGAACGCATGCAGCCTTGTCAAGTCTTCAGCCAACTTTCTATTACATTTCATAGTCTGAGATAGACACTGATCCATCTTAATTATCAAGCAGATCCCAAGCCTGACACTGCGAGCATTCACTGGGGCCTGTGACAGCAATGGGCCATATTAAAAACCCCTAAACTAATTTTAATGGCTTATTTTGCTTATTTTTAATGGCCTTTCAGTGGCCAGGTGAGATACCTTCCAGGCACCAGAGGAAGACAGCCCTGTCAGAGTATTGAAGATCCTTTAAAAAAATGGACCACTGCCTCAAAAGCCCCCCAGCAAGTCCACTCCAAGACAGCGAGTGCAGTGTGGTGGTGAAACCGTTGGATGGAGGACCTGGGAGAGCCAATTCTAGTCTCACTTGGCCATGGAGCTCATGGGGCAAGTCACTCACTCACAGCCGAACCAACCTTAAGCCTGATTCCTTGCAACCTGCTGCTTTCGAACAAAGGAGAGAGTAAAGGGGGTTAAGAAATAAGGTTCGACCCTTGGCTCTACCTGGCTTTGGCTCTGCCCACCGATAGGGGACAACATGGTTCTCGAGAGAAAATGCTGCCACCCCACCTATAAGCACATAAATCTCACGTTTTAACAAGCCAAAAGGCAGCTACTTTCTCAGAAACGCAAAACCTTGATTCAAGGCCGGAACTACCCAAACAAGCACCCATATCAGTAGCAAAACTCTCTTCTTCTGTCCGTGACAGACTCAAAATACTCAGACACAAGAATGATAAATTCCTCAAGTACCTCTGAGCCAGTGCTAATATTGAACTAGTTACTACGAAGCGACTAAATTACACAGAAGTATAACACATTTCCCAAGGATCAACTTTCTCCAAAAGCCTTATTTGCAGAGATAAGGAAAAGCCTTCACAGGAGGAAATGTTCCAGTGCGTCATCAGATGTAAATAGAGCAGTTCCAAAAGGAAAGAATGGATTTATAAATGCCATTGTCCAAGTTTGGGCAAGCAGCAGTATCACACCTGCCTGTGCCACCCACCTGGAATGTCCAACCCACCTTGCAGCCTGCTGGACTTTCACATGAGAACATTTGCACCGCGACTAAATGTGTGTACACCCAACCCATAACAAACTGTGCAGTTGTTAACCTATATAAAATCTGGGAAGAAAGTCCGTGGTTTGCGCTTCTGTAAGTTGTGAATCTTGCAAACTTATTTGGAAATCTCACGGGCTTGGATAAAGGACCCAGGCATCCAAAGCCTCTCCGGAGAAGAGTGGCTATAATCCAGGCACAACTCTTTCCCTCTCTGTCTCTCTGCACAACTGCTACACAAACCCTTTTTTATTATTGTGCTATTTAAAACATTTGTATGCCATCCACTGTGCCACAGCACCTCTGGGCGACTCACAATCACAACTGTGCTTGTGCACCAGCTGCTTTAGACTACAACTTCCATCAGTCCTAGCCAGCCTAGTGAAAGGTCAGGAATGGTGAGAATTCTCCAAAACATCTGGAGAGCACCAGACCGGGGAAGCTCTTCTGAGTCAGATGACTGATGCAGTGATGTGTCTCTTCCACATATCCGGCTTGTTTTGCACATATTTTTTGAGCAAGTGCTCAAAGCCGGGATTCTCTGCATCGGGGTGCATCGCATCCCTCATTTTCCATTCTGGAGAAGTTGTTGGGGGCCGTTTTCCAGTGGTGGGCATAGCTAACGGCAAACGGAGTGCAGCCAAAGAATAGTAAAAAGGTATTTTAGCTTAAATTGCATGCTGCCAATGAACTAAGAGGAAGCACTGCAACTTTTTAGAATGCTGGCAGAATCGAGCAGGAGTCAGGACACCGGAAACCACCTGCCCTTCAAGGAAATGGGGTAGAGCCAGTTAGAGAACACAGGAAAGTTAGATCAGGGCCCCAAATGATCCTCATAGCTGTGATGCTGCACCTCTACACTGTGTATTTAAAGACTGCCAAGTAAAGAGAGTCCCCCTTTCCTGAAGATGAGATGCCCTCAAACCCTTGAGGGTAAACATTATTTTTCTCTTTTTTAATCCATAGTCTGGTGCATTTGTTTGGCTCACTATCCCCGCTTTTCCCCTAAAGCTCTGCCCGCAGGACTCACTTCACTCCCGTCTCCCTCTCTTGGAGCGCTAAAGCTGGACCCAACTGGACTGCTTTGCCTGGGAGGAACTGCTTGGAGATGATTCTCACAGGGCCGGTAGACGTGCCTGGGGCTTCAGCTCAGAGGGTTAGTTTTAGGCCGTGGGGAGGCAGAGTGAGCAAAGCGCCATGTCACTGGTGCTACCTGCGCCAGGGTTTGCCCTCTAGTTTGCAGACCACCAGCTTCCACTCCACTCCACTTCCCCCTGCCTGTCTTGCCAAGTACACTGGAAGAAGGGAGAGGGGGTGCTTAGCCCTGGACATTCTCTCCATCTCCAGGGTTAACACACTTCTCCCTTGACCTCCAAGAAGCACTCTGCCACATCCGCACCTGGCAAAGCCTGGGCGAGGGCCAACTAACTCTCATCCAAGCAGTGGCCTTCAAATTGAGCCTCACCACCCCCCAGGTAATCTCACCACTGCAGGTGAGCATTTTTCTTCCTCTCAGAATTGCAACACATTCCGAGCATCATTTTTAGATGGTAAAATCTCCTACGCTCTGGACTCCCACCTCTCACACATTTGTGTAAGTAATTTATATGTCTAAAAAGTATTTGGTTTTGCATCGGACAGGAAGATCTAAGGAGAGAGGGAAGATTAAGCAAACCCCCTGAGCTACGCAACAAAATAGGGGACCTTCAGAAAAGACGCTCTGAAGACCAGGAAGCTCTAGAAGAGGCAAAGGAGAAGTATTTGTTAAGCTAACTTCCTTCCCGCCGAGAACAAATATTTGAGCAGCAGAAGCAAGATCGGCATTGGCTGTGCTTGATAAGGGTTTGTCTCTCTGGCTCCAGGAATTTTGTGTAAATAGATTAATTTTGTTTCGGTTCGCTGCAAACCTGATATGGAACTGAAAGGATGCTTGCTCTTGTTTTTTCCTGTTTGTAGGCCAGTTGGGAGTTCTTGTTTTAAAGGCAAATCACTCTGATTGCTTAGCAACCATTGTTCATTTCTGGTGCAAAGCTTAACATTAAGTTACACGAAGCACAAGAATATTTCAGGGCATCATCTGAGTCTGATGGGGGTTAGGCCCATCATTTATTTGGAATGCCAGGGGTCAGTCCTGAAACGCATGAGAGAATAATAAACAGTGAGGGGCACAGAACATGTGCTGAGTACTTCTCATGCACCTCTTAGTAACCTTTCCATATCATGCACATTTGCTATGATGGGGCTTCCAACTCAGACTATGCAGTCTCCTAACATACTTAATCCAATTATACTTAATCCAATTATATTTATAAAAAACTAATTAGAGATGGAATCCTGGCAGACTTCCTAACCTTCATCTGATTGGCCATCTAAAAGCAGAGGTATGAATGCTGCACAGTGAAACCAGCTTTTGGTCCTTCCCTGCCACATCCTCCTTCTGGTAGGCAGCCATCTGGCTTCCTTTGGAAGTATTTTGCCCCAACAGTATCCTGTCCGCCTCCATTCTGTCTTTCCTCCAGTAATTGATGCATGCAAAATCCAGTACCCATGGACCTGCGCAGTCCAAAGTCATTGCGCAGATGCAGCTCTCAAGCGTTTCACTAGAAGAGTGCAATGCGGGGATTTACACCAGTGTGCTCGTGCAAGAGCCCCACCTCCTCAGCCTAGCCACTTTTTGATAGCAGACCCTGTGATGAAGTGTCAAATGAGGCCAAAGAGAATGTCCATTGACAAACTCCATCCCAGGAAATCTGGAAGCTGACGTATCAGACCACTGGTTCATCTGGACCAGTACTGCTGATACTGACTGGCAGCAACCCTCCGGGGTCCCAGGCAAGAATTTTCTGGCTATACTTAGAGCAACTGGCAGTTTGAACCTAGAACCTTCTGAATGCAGAGCATGTTGTTCCTCCTTTGTTATGGTGAAGGTTTGCGCTAAATTATACAGAACTGCAGCTAACCTGCATGTTGTCAGTTGCATCTCCCAGTAGGCCTCCGAAAGTAATGGCATTTGTTACAGTAGCCAGATAAATAAAGAGAATGGCGGACAAGGCTTGGATGTTGAATGCGTCATAGAAATCACTGGGAAAGAATGGAGCTTTCCTCTTGATGTCTTTGATTAAACCGCCGCAAAATCTGAACAAGGAGAGAACCATCAGTCAGAATTACATTAGTTAAAGCAGAGAAAAGTTCCGTAAGAAAAAATAGTATATTTTTATGTATAATATAAATTATATTATGCACACACACACACACACACACACACACATATATATATATATATACAGTGCTTTTTTTGTAAAAAAAAAAAAAAAGTGCCGGAACTCCCATTTTGTTAATCTTTTATTTAGGGTTCTTTTAGGGTAATCTTTATTAGCAGGACTGGTGGTTGAGAAGTAATTAGTATTTTTTTTTTTCATTTTTAAATTTGGGGTCACACTTTTACACTAAAAATTAAAAAAAGATTTTCAATTCACCAACTTTTTTTAAAATAAAGAAATTATTTACCTTTTGCACGTAGCCAGTCACTCTACACACACCAACATTGTGTAATGAAACATAATGGTCACCGTCCACAGTAAGCACTCAGCGCGTGACCACACGACCAACCACAAGCTGACCAGCGTCAAAAGCGGAGCAGCACAATCACAACCAGCATGGACACACAAGCAGCCCGCATGCACTATTTTAATGATTTTGCCGCCGACCTGCTACACCCGACAGAGTGATTCAAAATCACGTGGAAAAATCCGCCAAAAAAAGGTGCCAGAACGCTGTTCCGATGTGTTCTATGACAAAAAAAGCCCTGTATATATATATAATATATATTATATTCCAGTGTTACTGACCAACTAGCCAAAGGTGCCTTCTTACAATATGTCATTTTGTCACTTACTTCCCAGTCCGTTGCAACTCCTCACAGTCCCCATGACCTCCTCCTCCATTTCCTCCTTCATGGGGGGTGTCTCCATTCATTTGCACATTCTCTGTACCTGAATACATGTTTTTCCTGTGCAGAAAGGAGAAAAATTCAAACGGGCATGCACAGTGTATGCAAATATAATGGATTACCATATATGCCAATCTGCAGTAAACTTTAACAAAACATATATAACTAATAATAATAGTAATTCAATTTAATAATTCAATTTATATGCCACCCCACTAGCTATAGGCTGTCTGGGTGACTTACAACGTAATATAACACTAGGGGTATAAGAAACTTGAGTTTGCAGAGGTTCTCTGAATTCCATCTTGAAGATAGTTCCAGCCTGAGTCTGTATCAGATTGCAAACCCTTTTCCCCTTTCCACATAATTTCCCAAAATTTTCCATAATTTTCCATGTTTTTGAAATGGAGGCACTCTCCTCCCACTGATTAAAGCATATTTGTGTGAATTTTTCAACAGTACACATTATTTCATGTGTATTTTTCAAATGTATGCAAACTGCCAAAGGCATTTTGTGTCTGCCAATCAGGTTGCAATTTTAGAAATGTATGAACCTGGATGGCAGGTTGCACCCAAGTCCATGTATGGTCAGGAACTTACGATGTGTATGTCCTAACCAAAATTGAACTGAAGCAAATTTCTCATACATTCTTACTCATCTCTAGGAATGAAAATGCTACCAGCTCTTTCATCTAGGGCAATGAAGGTTGTTTGTTTACATCTCATATAAATGATAACATAAAAGGTTTGGTGGAAAAACTACAAGAAACTAGAACTCAGCCTTGGAATGGGAAGTAGCCCATAGTTCTGAAACGTCATAGAAACCTTTTCATGGCTCTGCAAGATGCACAGGGCTCCAGAGAGGCTGAATTTCAGAACCAGCGCTTCTGCGTAATCACTGCCCATCCATCAAGCCAGGCCTGACCAGTCGTTAAGTTTGAACCAGGTGCGTATTATAGCTACGTATGCCAATCTGGGGGTCTGTCCTCCATCTTCCTTAGAAAGCTTTGAGCATGAATTTGAACAATCTCTGAGGAAGCCCCTATTTAGATTTCCTTCTATCCATGTTATTTGCAGAATGGTTGTGCCTCCTAGCACTACTGGGAGAAATGCTTAGCAATCTAGAACGTGCATTTAGCTCGGAACAAACAGCAGCATGTTATACCCAGATATAAATTTGCATATGAAACTGCCTTGGAAGCAAAATCACTGCCTTTTGTTCAAACAGATGATCTCTCGCAGATCAAAGTGCGAAGGAAATCAGTCCCAGGGTCTGCAGAAACTAGCCTGAACTGGAGACGTCATTAATCCAACTCCCCGTTTCCCAGTGCCAACAATTGTACGACTGGTCAAGCTTCTGATATGGAGAAATGTATATTTCATGAACACATATATGATGCTTAAAGAAAAACTGAAGGCCTGAGCAGAAGGGATCAGATGATCTACTGTAGGTTTTGCACATCCAGAAGCACCCCAAATAAGTTAGTGGTAGACCGATCCAGTGCTGATCAGTCAGTCAATACTTGGCTTCCTACGAGAGTCCCTTCCTTCTCTCCATTCGTAGCTGAGCCAGCAAGACCTGATTGATGCCTGATTTCCAAGGGGCTGCAACACGTGAAGAGTGCCAAGAGCTTTCTGGACATAAATCCTGGGACCACAAGACAGGTTTCATCCCCTGTACCTGCTGGTGCTCTCTAGCTTAGAAGCTCTTCACAATAGATTCTCTGTGGCTGTGGCTATCTGGTTCCAAATCAACACATATTTTAGACTTCAGCTGGCCCAAGTTCAAGGGTTCCCTTCAGCAGCACCGTTGGCCAGCGAGGGGGCACTCGCCAGCTGCAAAGAGGCTCGTGCAACATCGGAGTGTTACCTTTTGTCAGAAGAAGGGAGGGATTTGGGGGGTTCTATCCTGATGGCAGGGTCCCACTCTCCCGGGGGAAGCACAATGACTTCATCCAAGAACTCATCAATGCCAGCGATCAGATCCTGCCTGTCTTTGGCTTTGTAGGCGATGTCGTGGAATACCTGCAAAAGTGGGGAAAGGAGAGGGTTCAGTCTAGAGGTACCTCTGTGTGAGGTCAGGTTGCCCATGTACCTGAGAACTGGCCACAGCGCTCTAGGTTTTACAGGACTAGGCAGTGCATGTCAGCCCCTTCCAATCCTTTTACCCGGAAACACCAAAGAACCTGGAATGGCCTTAGGTAAAGCTCATGTTCCCGGCAAAAGCCTCAGCCCCTCCCTGGCGTGGACCATCAGCAGGAGCAGAACCCCCACCAGCAAAAAGCTTTTCTCCTAAAGCAGGGCTAGGGCACATGGGGCAACTCCTGCAGTACAGCCCGAGGTTTGGGGTGAGGAGACCCGCAGTCCTACCACACTGGAAGGACCATGCCTTCCCCACCCTGCCCAACAGGTGCATTTCCCCCAAGCCCAAATTTCTCAAGCCTATTGATGATGCATCTGCAGCAATCCCATGAGGTTAGAATCACCTACACAATTCAGAGTGGCATTCCCAGCGGCTGCCCAGTGACTCGAAGGGCTACTTCACAAATGGTTACTTCAAAAAACAAATAATCTAGCACCTAAAATCTCTTATGAAATGAGAGCAGCTGGCCCGTATCCTTGTTCGCAGGGGATACCACAAGGCCATGCCGTAAGTGCATGAAAATGTTTTCAGGAAAGATGCAGTGGTTGGGAGAGAGATGCTGAATCCTTCTTGACTGACAGCTTCACCAGGGTGATGCTTTACCAAGCAGCTGGACTAATTTTCAGGGCTACACCCAGCTGAAATTAAACTGATGGGGCAGAAGGACTTTGGAAGGGACCAAGAAGCCAGGAGAGCAATTTGCACCATCCTCTCACCAACCTCTTCCCCAGGGAAAGCCACCTCTCAGTCCAGCTACTTGACTGCTATTCGGTGGAAATCGATGCTCAGAAGTGCAGGGCTGTTACTGCCTCATGAGTTCTGCCCCGAGAGAGGGCCAGGATTCAGGGCCACTGCAGCAACCCATTCCTGCTGCACTGTCACTTCCCCCAGCCTGCAAAATCCCCACCCCTGGAGGCTCGTAAGATGCCTGTCCCGAGCATTTTGTGGAAGCACTGCAAAACCGGCTCTTTGTGCTCATGGGAGAAATGCTTCCAATGCAAGCTAAAGCAAAGCAACCTTGTCTACTGAACCCATCAGCACGGACGGGGGATTACCTCATCGGACATCAACGTGGCAATGGCGCGACCAATCTCGTGGTACGATTTAGCTTTGCCTTTGGGACCCAGCAAAATGAAGAGAAACCTGACCCCAGAGGGGAACGGGGAGAGAGAAAACAGTGCTGTGATTCAAAGCGTTTATTTTCTTGAAGCTGTAATAAGCTGAGTAAAATTTGCACTAATTAAATAAAGGCGATGGAGCACGGAGAGTCATAAAATTCACACCAGCAGCAATTTTTTAAGGCTGCAGGAGAGCTTGATGTGTCATTAACATTACAAAGATGTAAGTACCCACTTACTGAATGCATAGCAACAAATTAAGCTATGAAGATTTTTTTCCTTGAGAAGTACATAATGTTCCATAACTCCCATTAAGTAACAGCAAATACACAATGGGAATGATCCAGAAAAAAGCAACACTATGCAGTAATTGACTAACAAACTTTCATAATCTAGCAGCCTACATTAAGAAAATTGTCCCCTCACACTGTAGGCCAGATCAAGACGTACTTAGAGCAGACTCGATAATGTCCATGCACTTATGGCTGCCATTTGGATCATCTTAATCTGAATGGGTCTCTTCTAAGTATAAGTACATCTGGATGCAGCCCAGATCCAATTTTCCTGGCATTTGGGATATCTAGGAGAACACCCAAGTACTTGATCAGCAAAGACAATGACAAAAGATACGGCCCATGGTCGAATGCGCGACATTTGTTTTATTTATTTTAAAAACGTACTGCTTGTCTTTGTCTGCAAGAACTCTGAAGGCAGGGAACAAAAATAAAGCCAAATGGAACCGAATCATCGGAAAGACTGAGACAGTAGGCAGGGAAAAGACAAACAACCACCGAAAAGCAGCCCACCTCCACCTGAGGGTCTGACTTAAGGCTGTGATTCAATGTGGACTCATCTGAAGGTAAACCCCCTTGAACAGAGCAAGGCTTACATTGGCGTACCATGTAGTCCAGCAATTTAATCAGAGTTGAGTAGTTTTCAACAGGCCTGAATGCTTTTGAGGTTACAGGCGCTGCCCCACAGCTTCCTGACACTGCCACGAGGCAGGGGGAGCAAATTCCTTGGAGCCCCAGTTCTGAGGTCTTGCAGATCCAAATGCAGCGCCCGCCGCTCTGGACCGCCTGGCTTTCTGAGGTCAGAAATTGGCCTCCACGTGAGCCACACGGCCATCCTGGGGGGTGGAGAGGGAAGGAGCCTGGCAGCGGACTTCCTGCACAGCCAGACGGTGCCCCAGCTTCCTTCCCTGCCCCTCTGCAGCGCTTCCTGTAGCCATCCGGAAACAGGCATCGAGCTGAAATGCAGCACATGAGCAACAGAAGAACAGCAATTGCTGCCACAGCTGCCTTGTGCCCTGCACTGGATGTGGAGCAGCCTCTCCGCTTGGAAACCGCATGGACTGATGGGAGATACTGCACCGTGTGGTGAACACTCAAGTTCAGCAGAGCACCACTCTAATTGTTTCCAGCACATCTCATGCAATTGCTAGCGAGTGTGAACATCACAGAGAACGTTTCTAAAGCTTTTATGATAGAACTTACACTTACACACACACACAGAGGGATAGGGAGAGAAGTGGGGTAGTTATGTACTGAGACAAGCAGTTCCTTCAGGGAAGGGACACCTGCCAATTATGAAAAAAAGACAACTGTAAGATGGTGACACCTGGCTCCGGCAGACTACAAGGCGCACACCTGTGGCCTCATGCCTGGATAGAGCTGCCAATCATTCCTTGACATTCATATCCTACCAGCTTTCAAGTGCATAGCTTACTCCACAATGATTCCATTAAGCTTGCTGATGATGATATATAAACATAGTCATAGAATAAATAATACTGACATTTTTGCTGTAAAATAAATAGCAGTTGCTAAAACAAAGAACCGCTGTAAGGGATGTTGAAAGATGCTTGCGAGAGAGATGCCAGCAAGATTTGGCCAGGCTGAGACCCGGAAAATGAGCTTTGGATGGCTGAGCATGCTTGTCTCAAAGCAGAGGTGAGCATTAGACACTCCCAAGTTCTTCTCTGACTTGGATTAAAATGAATCTGGAAAGAAGGGTTGCAAGTTGCTCTCCACCGGGTGGGGGACCAACAAAGAGAGCGGCTTAATGCCCAGGTGGAGAAGAAAAAGGGAAACAGCAGGAATGAACGAAGAAGTGAGCAAGCGGGAAAAGAACGGTGCTCTGGAGTCGCCCATGCTCACACGCACTGGACGGCTGCGGGAGGGAATTGCTCCTGGGTGCCACTTCTCCTATTCTTTCAATAACTGGGGAGAACATATGAACCCCCTTATCATGGGTTCATCTAACCTAATATTTTCTACTCTGACTGGCAGCAACTCTTGAAGGCTGCATGCCAGGCAGAAAGGTTATGGATCACAGCATCTGCTACCTGCTAAGTTTAACTTGAGATGTACACAACTGAAGTGGGCAGTTTCCATATGCAAGTCAGTGGTCCCCCCAAGAATCCCTAAGCAGGATCCCTATGGATCCCTCTGCAATTGAGCTAGTTCCCCCATACAGGGAACTATGGGGCTGTGTTTGAGTCTCTGTCACTAGGGATGCTGAGAATCCATCTCCCTTGAACTCGCCAGACTCCTTCCCCACACTGGGACCAGCCAGGAAGCTGGTCGAGCCAAAATTAAGTGCATGGACCCTCAGGAGCACCAGTGGACTCTTTGTGCAAAGAAGGCAAAGGGCGTAATTCTTTGCGCAGACTACGCAAAGCCTGCGTGTGGAAGCAGAACTCCGCTTGAACTTGCTTTCTGGCAGACCTCCATGCACACACTTGGCACGAGGCAGACGTGGGGAGAGAGAAAGTGGGCCGGAGTCCAGGGAGCTCAGCTGAGAAAATCCGATGCATTCCTACCCCCAGAATGGATTCCTCACGCATGCCTCGCTCTTGCTGTCTTCCATCTACTCCCAAAACTGGCTATTCGCATTCTGCAAGCTTTTGCTACAAAACAGAGTGTGAACTACCACAGAGCAACTCCACGTCTTTTTTTCTCCTCCTCTCTGATGCCTTCCTGCTTTCAATCCCTCCTTCCACCTTTGGCCCTCACCTGCCCCTCCCCATTTGCAGCCCTCCCCCAATTCTTGGCCAGACAAAAGCCGCTGGATCCAAACCAAACCCCCTCCTCCAGTAAATTCATAGGGCCAATGCCTCCTTCATTCATTAGAATGGGATCACTGGAGCATCAACTAATTAGCTCAGAATTCCACGCCACACTCATTGCCCTGCAATATGTTTATGCAGTGTGCTGACTACTGCCTGAAATTAAATTACTTGCTCTTTAGTTGTATACTGACCAGATGGGTTTCTATTACTGTCACATCGCATGTGTGTTTACGCATACTGATGTGATATTAAATACGATGTAATCTACATGGAAACAAAACATTAGGCTCCAGGGAAGCCGCTAAGGAGCAGAAGCAGCGTCATGCTGGATTATAATAGCATATGCGATTGGGATTCCCAAAGCAACAAGGGCTTGGACTTCCCCGATGGAGTGTCTTTCCCCCTTCCGACACACACACACCTATACCCATGCCAGATGATGAATTTGTCCTTGAGTTTCTTCATTTGAAATAGAGGTTTATAATGTGACGGGGAGTTTTTGCTAGTGCAACACAAATTCTAAAATCTCTTGAGCACACAAAGCTAATGTAACAGAAGTGCTACAGCACAAGGTGGAAACGTTTTTGGAATCCGGGATTTAGAGAAAGCACAGAAAGCAACTGCTACTATAAATAAGAAACAGATCCAAATGTTGCTACTGCATATATTGTGCAAATTGTATTTTAGCATTTGCTTAACCCAAGTTCTGCTTGTGGTTTCCTGCACACAGCTGGCTGACCACTGTGTGAAGAGCCTTCCAAACACATCTGGACTACAACGCCCAGAATTTCCAGTCAATGGCTCTGCTGGATGGGAATTCTGGGAGCTGGGGTCCATCCAAATGCCTATGAAGACCTCCATGTTGGGGAAGGCTGGACCACTGCATCATGTGCACCCTGAGTCTGGTCCTTACGGTCAATCTCTCTCTGCAGCTCTGTGTCTCTCGCTCTGAAAGAGCGACTTGCCCTGAACTTCAGGACTACAACCCCCATCACCACACAGTCAACTTGGTCAGCTAACTAGGAAAGGCTGCACTGGAGATGGCATGATTCTGCGAGACTACAAATTATTCCAGATATGTCACTACAGTTGGGAAGGACTCAGAGCCCCTAACCTGCAAATAGTATGCTTCCCAGGATCTATGTATTGGAAACAGTGACATTTTTGCTTGAATTACAAACGTGATTATTCTAAAATTGAGTACAGCTCCTTTCCCTGTTCTTTTGACTTGCGAAACGTGGCAGCACCTTTGAGGGTGCTCATTTACCGTGTAGGTACAGGGACTTCTGTTAGAGCACCGAGCATAACTGCTTGCTGCAGCCGAACGAAGGCAATGAAAGGAGCTTCCAAGAAGTCTACTTCTCCAACCAGCACGTTGGAGGCCTCGGCATCTCGCGGTAACTTCTTCATGAACTTGTTCTTCAGCTGCATGGAAAGAGGGAAAGGCAATAGTCCCATTAGCACAAGCACATCTGCCTTGACAGCAGGAGATGCAAAATGCATAAGAAATCTTCTAGCAGGCCAACCAAAGCAAGGAACTAACCAATCAATATAAACATTTGTGATGTTCTCAGTGGGTCTAGCTGCAGCTCATTCACAGTGACGGCTTCCTTCTCCTCCGTTGTCCTCAGTTTTGTCTGCCTTTACAGCCACTTAATCTGAGACTCCCCATTATTTACTTTAACATGCCTGTGATATCGTCCCACGGGATGCAGCCACGTGGCAACACGGGCAAACATACCCGCCACTGCTGGGAAGGAAAGAGGCAGTTGCTCCTGGCACACTCTCCAGGGTTCGGATGAGGGTCGTGAGGGCTGGGATGCGAGGTCTGTGGACACAGAGATGACCGTGGAGGAGGGAGCGCTTATCTCGAGGCTGCCGTCTCCAGGTGTTCAGGCAGACCTTGGGAAATGAGGGGTTTGGGAGTGCTGGACAGGACCTGGGAGAGGAGCAAGAGGAGCCTGGTCTGATCTCTGATCCCAGAGAAGAGCCAGCCAACTAGAGGGCCTGTCAGATCTCAGGGGCTAGCTCTTCTCCAGAGGGGCACACCCAGGCGTGGAGCCCAGGGCTCTGGAAAAGGAGGGTCCTTGGAAATAGCTTCCAGCTTGGGTTCAACAAACCACTCTGTGCATGCTCAGGGACTCTTCCTCTGTTGGCTGTTAGTTTGTTGGCTATATGTTGGAAATACAGTGATTTTTGCCAAAGAATGGTCTGTTGGTTGAAAGGAAGAAGACGGGAACTCAGCTCCTGACAACCATTAGAATTAAACAGCACTGTGGACAACTGAGGAGTCAAGGTGGTCAAAGAAGTGAAATGCTGCCCAAAACAGTCTCAGAACAATATGAGCGCATTAGCAAAGCATGCCACAATCACTGAGAATGCTTTCTGATACTCATGGAAATGTTAATGCAGCAATGGCTCTTCTCCAGTGACCTCTTGCTTTGCCAGGATGGGACTGCTTCATGCCTATCCTTCCTTATTTCTGCTAGGTAATTTGGCTCTCCTTTCACACAGGACCCTGAGCATATCCCAGACAGAGTCCTGTCGCACAACATCAGCGCCAGGGCCAATAGCTGGCTTATGGCTGGCTAGATGGCCTGCATTTCCCCCTAAGTTATGTCAGTTTGGCCGGGGAGGGCATCCCTTTATTTGGTTTTCAAGGAATTCTCCCTTAGAAACAGGAAGAGTCCCTCTGCAGATATCTCCTTGAAGGGTTTGCTTATTTCATCAGCATGCCCTTTTTCTGGTACAGCAACCAAACCAGAAATATAACAAACAAAATACAAGTCACTAGGAAAATGTAAAAGCATTTGTTTCTCAGCAGGATTCAAACAACAGAATAACCCATGTTTCGGCCCACATTAACATATCGTCTGGCCCTACTCTCAGTAGCCCTCACTACACGGGAAGGGCTAAGCAATCCAGGAATGCTCCATCCCTCGATTATTTAACTTTGTGTTGTCACTCTGGCAGCAACCTAGAGATCCTGTTTTGCATGCAGACTAAACAACCCAGGCATGGAAAGTCCCTGCTTTGTTGAGCCACTTCAACTGAAGCGATCAGGTAGCAGAACTCAGCACAACTATCATGTTGTATCTGATATAAAAATAGATTGCTGCGGTGTGTGAACCAGGGCAACAAACCATAAGCCCAATCAGGTGCATTTTAGCTCTTGTACCATAACCAACGGGCAGGTTTGCAATATATGCGATTCCATCTATCAGTCTAGAATAAGACATACGTTATGAGAAAAAGCATGAATTATGAAAATTGAAGTTGGCAGTAAAAGCACACTCATCTGCCGTAGTGACAGAGATAGAATCCCATTCATTTTAATAGGATGACACAAGAGTAAATTTATCTACTGAAGAGGAGTGAATTCTACTTGCAATATTAGTAGTGAGCACCAGTGTCTCATAACTAGGAAAAGAAACAATAATTCATGGAACAAAATATGGCCTGTGTACCATTCTGTGATTTATTGTTGGTTGAAATTGCATAAGAAAAGGTTTTAACTCCAGACCGACTTGACGTGATGAATTGATTTCAGATGCTTCTACAGGGAAAAAGTTTCCACTTCTTATTCCATTTTAAAACAGTACAGATGGAATAATAATCCAACTGCAATTATTCAAGTTTTTGGTGTACTAGCCAATATCATATACACAATTTCCACATATCCCCTTCAGATACATTATGAGCTGACATTTGCTTCCAAAAGGACACACAAACGGTATGATATGGAAAGTGAGGGACATCTTTGAACTGGTAATTTTGAATTCTGAACCGGTAATTTAGGGAGAAAATCATTTTTCTCCTTAAGAAAATGAGCTGCCTGGCTACATAGATATACTGCTTAGATATGTACTCTGGTGGAGCCACCGCTGCTTAAGGTCTCCTTACAATAAAAAAGCTCACATCTGCTTTGCCCATAAGGAGGAAGGAGGCAGCAACCCCACCCTGGTTTCAGCTGTACAAAGGAAAGGAGCCAAGGCATCCTTATATGTTTTTTGTTGTTGTTTAGTCGCAAAGTCGTGCCCGATCCATCACGACCCCATGGACAACATTCCTCCAGGCTCTCCTGTCCTCCACCATCTCCTGGGGTCCACCCAAGCTCACGCCCACTGCCCCAGTGACTCCATCTAGCCAGCTCAACCTCTGCCGTCCCCTTCTCCTTTTGCTGTCAATCGTTCCCAGCATCAGGCTCTTCTCCAGGGAGTCCTTCCTTCTCATTCAGTGGCCAAAGTATTTGAGTTCCGTCTTCAGTATCTGGCCTTCTAAAGAGCAGGCAGGGTTGATCTCCTCTAGGACTGACTGGTTGGATCTCTTTGCATCATTGCTTTTTAGGACGCCTCAAAAACCTATCAAGGAGTCCTCAGTGAGAAAATCAGGGAAGCTTCCCAGAAAAACAACATGAAAAACGCTACCCTTTGTCTGCCATGTGCAGCTGTGGGAAACTCTTGGTAAGTTTTAAGGTGCATTCACCATTCACATGGGACAACTGAGGCTCAAGAGGACGGATCTATGCCCTCACAAACCAAGCAGGTCCTCTGAGAATCCTCTGCAAAAAAGCTAAAGGATTGAGTAAAAATTCCAGAAGTGAGAGGCAGCCTTTATAGCCCTTGCCCCCCCCGCCCCCCCCACACCAGAATTTGTGGTGCAATTTAAGGCACGGTTCATCATTTCCCTTAGCATCCATTCTTTATACAGGCTACAGAGGACTAAAGAGTGAAGCAAAGCACTTTCTCTCCTGGTAATCTCTCTCCTGTATCTCACGCATTTTTCTCCTCCTCCACTTTGTCCCCAGATGACCCTACCCACTCAGAAACCTTCAGCTGAAATCCCAGTAATGCCACTAGTTCACAGTAATTCACAGATTACGCTCAGTGCACTTCCCTTCATCAGCCTCTTCCTCCGGTAGCTGCTCAGACATCCTTCCTTGGGATCGTCTGCCAACAGCTTAAACGGGTTAGCAAAGTTAGCTCCTCATCTTTCTACCCGGCTCCCTTCTGTTCCTCCATTCCAACCCAAGGAGAATGAAAAACAATAGACCGGAGTGAAGGAGAGATCTGTGAAACTGCAAACTTTGCCCCACTGTCCAGAAAGGTCTGACTTCTATATCCTCTGATTATCTAGATTTCTGAAATTCAGTCGGTGTCCAAATATATCCCCAGGGCATCTATCTGCACCTCCAGATGATGCGTTGCAACGGTATCATGATACAACAATAATGGAGGATGACTCTCCTAAGCCAGCTGGGGTCCGACTTGCATGCAGACACACAGGCACGCCACCCCAAACTGGAGACGCCATGAGGACAGAGACTGGAGCGAAGAAGGACTTTCAGAAGTTTTAACACAACTTTAAATGTGTCTGCTTTTACAGTGATGGTCTGCAAGATGTGGCAGACTATAAAATCCAGATAAAGTTTTTTTCATTTAAAAATATGCAGATTGAGTAGGCTCCTGTTCTTACGAATGGCAGTTTCAGTAGAAAGAGAGACAGATCATGCCCAAATCCAGAAAATGCAGCAGAGCATCTGTTGTGTGGAGCACGTTTGTGTGGGTCCTGACCCAAGATAAACCGAGGCAAGTGCTTCAGGAACAATTTACCTGGATCTTGGATCTGGTGCCAAAGGCATCACTCAGCTCTACTGGAGAATATCTGCAGTGTGCCCAGAACTGGGGAAATCCCCCACCATCAAGCCATCTGAATTCCTCGAAATTTGGTTCAGGCACCAAGGAGTTGGGAGTATTTTGTCCAGTACGAAAGCATCCCTACAATCCCCTGCTTTTGTGGACTCCTTTGAAGATACTTCTCTATTCCTGTGCCTTGAAGGCACAGTTCTGTGCACGTTTCCATGGGAAAAGTCCTAGAATCCCTAGCAATCCCCAGGCAGGATTTGCAAATATTGGGAATCAGCTGAATGATGGAGAGGCACCAAGTATTAAGTATGCACTTCACAAGTGAATTCATTCCCATGGCGGTCCAAAGTAGATCCTCAAGCCAGGATCTTTGATCTCCTGGGAATATCACTGCTTAGGACACTGAAATCATCAAATGCTAGCTGTTGTTCAATTCCCTGCCTTTGCATTGTATATGACCACCCTTTCCTCTCCGAGGATCCCTTCCCCCAGATTCCTTGCATGAGCATAGTTGAACATGCAAGGGGGCAGCTTCATACACATGTATGTGGCAGAGGGAAGTTTAGCAGACAACAGGTAAAGCATCTAAGCTATAATCCAGGGACAGCCCTTTGGAAACGCCACACGTATTACACCCTGGCCTTCCCTTCCTTTTCTCTTATTCCTCCAGCATTAGCCTCAGTTATTATTATTATTATTATTATATTATTATTAGAACATTTCTATGCCGCCCCTTGCCGAAGCCTCGGGGCGGCTTACAAACACAATAAAATACAATAA